GCTGAATAGTCAAGATCTTGTTGATGATCCAAACACTGTCAAGGACCTTGGAGTACTCATCTCTAATGATCTAAGTGCTAGAGCCCACTGTAACTGCATAACCTAATCCTACATAGCTTTTTCTCTGGTAATATCACACTACTAACTAGAGCATACAAAACATTTTCTAGACCAATACTTGAATACAGCTCATCAGTCTGGAACACGCATTATGTATCTGATAATAATACAGTTGAGAAAGTCCAGAAATATTTTACAAGAAGAGTTCTCCACTCCTCTACTCATTTCAGAATACCTTATGCCACCAGACTTGAAATTCTAGACCTAGAAAACTTAGAACTACGCCGCCTTTGGTCTGATCTAAGTATAGTATATAAAATTATACATTGCAATGTCCTACCTGTCAATGAATACTTCAGCTTCAATCATAACAATACAAGAGCACATAATAGATACAAACTCAAGGTAAACTGCACCAAACTTGATTGCAGGAAATACGATTTCAGCAACAGAGTGGTCAATGTCTGGAATACTGTACCTGACTCTGTAGTTTCTTCCTCAAACCCCCAAAACCTTAACCTTAGACTGTCTATTGACCTCACCCCTTTCCTAAGAGGTCTGTAGGGGGCGTGCATAAGCGCACCAACGTGCCTACCGCCCCTGTCCTATTGTTTCTTTTTATTTTTTCTTATATGTATCCATTTCATGTATTCATAACTATATTTATACTTATACCTGTTATCTTATAATTGCTTGACAAAATAAATAAATAAATAAAAATAAAATAAAATAAAATGATTTAAACCACTGTGGCTGAATCTCCAAACATGTCTAAATTTGCAATGAAATGAAAATATTAAAGAATTTAAAATAAAATATAATTTAAAAATCCTTTTAAAGTACGTGATCAATTAATCAGCTTCTGCTACCTTTTTATGAATTTGGACCAAATTTTTTATTTTAATTAAACATTTCTATAAACGTAATTGATGTGTAACAAATGAAGGAAGTGTGGTCTGAGAATGGCATAAGATCTCTTCAAAGTCTTGCCTTTTGGTCCACTGTCAAATTCTATGCAATGCTGGCAAATATTTAGAAGCCATCCATTTTCATAAAGAAGCTGTCCCAGCATTACCAACAACAGTTTGGGAAGGTCTATAGCTTGATCATAAAATACATGCTTTGCTAAAGCATCAAAATTAAAAACAGGTAATGAGGAATTTAATACCTTAAAATTTTGGGAACTACAAACAAGAAATATTAAGCTAGCTTATAGTGTTCTGATCCTTGTAGTACCTATCAGAACATTCATCTTCATCTTAAACATTGTTAGAATCATGTCAAAGTAAGCTACAAATTAAACACAATAAAGGAAGAATCTTTCAAGAACTACAGATCTTATAAAATTTCTGCTTTCTTATATGAGGTCTTGAAACATTTAAACATTAATACAAATGCCTTGCCATTCACAAGATTTTCATCATGGGGATGAGCGGGATGGTATCTGAGTTCTGAAAAAGTTGCTGATGCTGGATTACATGTATATAAGGACCTGAGTGGTTGATGGTAAGAAAAGCTCTCAATATGCATTATGATTATAATGCTTTAATGATTATAATGATGATTATGTACCAACAAATCATTGTCAACTGTTACCTCTACATGTATAGATTTTTCTCCCTGATGATCTGTCCTTAACCTGGTCCTTCAGTTCTTCCAATGACGCACACGTTCCTATCAACTTTCAGGTAATAATCTTCTTCTCTTTTCTTCCATTTTTCCCAGCATTAGAACTTTATTCCAGTGTTGGGTCTTCACATAATATAGGTAGGATAAGTTGAGCCTGACCATATCTTAATGTATGCCAATAAAAGTAAATTACTCTTTAAATCTTTCTATTTTTATTTATTTTATTTCATTTGGTTTGTCAATTGCTTACAAGATAATAGGTATAAGTAAAAACATAGTTATGGATACATATAAGAAAAATAATAGAAACAAAAGGACAGGGATGGTAGGTATGTTGGTGTGCTTATGCACGCCCCCCTACAGATGTCTTAGGAAAGGGGTGAGGTCAATAGTAGAGTCTAAGGTTAAAGTTTTTGGAGTTTGGGGAAGAAACCTCAAACTTCTTTCAAAAGTCTCTCAAACTTCTCTTCTTCATGAAAAGGACAGACTGTAATATTTTCTATGCTCATTATGGCTGGTAGTTTGCAAAACAAAATATACATTAATGACTTCTTTAAAAAAAAAACAAATCTAACTTTCAGATGTTTTAAACATTGTTTTTCGCTCCTTGCTTGGTTTTAATGCTGGAAAACATGTTAAGAATTCAAATTTTTTTTAAAAAAGAGAGAGACTTATTTTATTACTTGACTGCTTTAAGGAGCAAATTTTTGATCAAGCTTTGAACAAATACAAAGAAAAGGAAATAATTATAATTAGCCAGATTAAAAATAGAACATGTACCCAATCGTTGCTACTCTAACCTCTCCAAAACAACTTTCCTGCCATATTATAATTTTGTATTTCTTTTTATTTTCTTTTTTTTGGTAACAAGGATATGTGAGGGAATAACAAGAGTAAGATTGTTCACATAGAAAAGAGATACTAGAGGAACCTGGACTTTGCCAATGTTGAAATAACTTATTAGTAGACATACCCCACCCTAAACTAATTAGATTACAATCAACATAAGAAATAAGTATAACACATATCAAGGGGATCATTAAAGCTGTTATAAACTCAGCTTTGATGTCATTGTCTCATTTTCCTTTGATGTCTCTTTTAAGAGAGAAAAAGAAAAGCTGAGGATGTTTTGCTGCAAAGATAAGCACCACATCACCAAAATGATATGAATAAGTTTAAAAAAATCTGATTTATAGGCTTTTTTGAAGTTCGTAAAATTTAACTCTTTTTAATAATAAATATTCATCTATACAAAATCCTCAGAAAAGATACCAAAAATAATAATTTCCCCTTTGGAACTAATTATTGGTTTATGGGGCATGAGTGAAACCAGCTGATGCAAATGTTGTTACAATCTTTATCAAAAGTAGAATAAACAAGTATCTGTTGATGTCATTCATTTATATTATTTCACTAGATATTCTGGAAATTTCAAAATTATACATAGTTGGGCAGCTTTGTGAAAGGTATTTGAAAGCATAAAAACATGATTGCTAATACCTGCAATGATAAACATTAAGGGAAAAAAACCCTGAAAATATTATTTTGTGAGTTGGAAGTGGAAGTGGAATTGAATGGAAGTGGAATTCTGCAGCCAAGTTCATACCCTTCAATATCAGGCATGATATTCCCCTCTGAAAAAAAAAATCGGGGCCGGCCAAAAGAGCCCCCGCGCTGCGCACCAAGAAATCGCGCACACAACACCAACGCTACACACCCTTCCTTTCCAGCCGGTCAGGTGTAGATCAGCTCTGGAGCTGGGCAGCCGCTTCCCTGGTGGCGGGGCCGAGGCCGCTGCCTGGGGAGCGCCCGCTGCTTTCCCTCACCAGGGCCGGGCGGTGGCATGTTGCCCTGTGCCGTGTGGCCCCCGCCTGGCAGCGCGCTTCTCGGCACGAGGCAGCTGGGTTGCCCAAGGAGCCCGGCCGGCCAGGCAAGGGGAAGGCAGCGATGGCCCTGCCAGGCTGGGGTGGAAAACCCGCTTGGCAAGGGGCCGGGGAAGTCTGTGGGCGGAGGACCAAGTGAGCTGGGAGGCAGAGATTTGGCTGAGGCTGTCAGATGGAGAGACAGCTGGTCTGTGGCTGCCCAGCTCCCTTTTCCTTCCGCTCAGCGGCCTCCGCTCGCACCACCCGGGCTCCGCTCAGGTGTCCGGCTGGGGCTCTGCGCACCTCTGCGGCTATCCATTCAAGGGGTCACGGTTCTCTTTAAGTATCCATGGACCGAAAGGTGCCAGGAGGAGGAAGAAGAAACCCGGGAGCCGCTGCGCCTGAGTCTCTGGTGCCACTGCTGCCATTGCAAAGCGCCGCCGCGGCTCTTCCTTTTTGCCTTTCCCTTCCTGAGGCAACACGGGACTGGAGCCGCGTGGAGCCACGCTGGCGGTAGCAACTCCTGACTCAGGGGGCCTCCGAGGGGAGGGGAAGGAGGAGAAGAAGGGGGAAAAAGGGGGGGGCGATTCCCCCAAAAATCAGAATTCCGATTTTAATCGGAAGAATATCGTGTCTGAATATTCCCCAGAAGGCTTCCAATTTTCCAGAATGGGTTTTAACAGTGTGCAGAGAGATGTAGATGAAAAGAAAAAGAATGGAAATGCCATTTCATAATCAGACATCTGCTTATATAAATAAAATTCTATTTCATTTCTATTTTATTACCTCATGGCAACAATTGATGTTATTTTCTACTGCCCAAGTAAAAAAGTATTATGGTTTGGGGATCACAAATGGAAATGAACTTAACATAAGACTCCAAATAATAATAAAACAGCCTATAGGTCTAGCAATACAACTAAATTTTTAAAATTGATTTAAATAGTCTTAGCTGTGTACCTGGACAAAATAAATTGCAGGCTTCTAAAGTGATATACATGCTGGCAAAACCAAATGGCTTTAATGCAGAATGTTAAATTGGAATGTGCAGCATTGCTACTTCCATTACTGAAGACAGAATACCATTTCATTTTTAAGCTTTAGGGCATAAAAATCACTTAGAAATGGGTTTAGATGGAATGGCATGGCTTACTTGCCCACATCTGCTTGCAAAAAGATGAGAAGCAAAGACCTTTGTCTTTCATAACACTGTATGCCATGATCAAGATGATGGTCACCCTGATTAATTTCTCAACATCCTTATCCTAAAAGTCTTTAATAAAGACAGCTGAACATGTCAAGAATTTGCAAAAAACACTGGATCAATTTTTACCGAAGCCATGAGAGAACCTTCTTTCATAAGGTCTGTAAAAGAGATTATATACATAAACTATTTTCAAAGTAATCAATATGCTGATAATAAGAGAAGCTCAGATGAATATTGTTTACCTAAAACTTTCAGTCTTTCTGCTCCAACGACCACTTCATTATCATCTGCAGAAAATAACAATTTCCCTGAAGTGGTTAGCACTTGAAATTTTTGGCTGTAGGCTTCCACTGCTTTGGGACCTAAAGAAAAGAAAGAATTTATTAGTCTGTATGACTAATCTAATTCTGGGAATTATATATAACTAATCTTTATTGAGCATAATGAACAGAGCTTCATGGAATAGTTTATGCTAATAAACCTGAATAAATAAATAAACATTCCTTGAAATACTGATAAACATGTCTGCCTATATTCTATTTACAACATGTTGCTTTAAATCAATTAAACATGTATTTTACATTTGTATTCTTTAAAAAAAATCACCACGCTGTTGTTTGTTACTGACTTGAACACTGTCAAAAAAAAACATTATGAAGTTGTCATTACAAGCTAAAAATCCATGAAATTATGAAGCAGGAGCTTCAACATTTCCAGTAAATGAAACACTCGTTCCCCTGTATCTCCATAAAGGGAAAGAAAAGATGTCTAGTAGAGATAATCTGAGAAAGAACTGATTGAGTGGCATGGAATCTATTTATGTATTATATTTTTGCAGCATATTATAGATGCCACAGAGTACTATGGCTCATCTTTGACAATACCATTAAGACTAGAACTTGCACCTCCCTTGCATAAAATTCTCATTTAGAAACTGAGGGTAAAATGTAAAGTATATACGTATTTATTACAATACTCGTAGGCCATCCATCCCTACACATCTCTAAGAGACTTACAAAAGCACAAAAGCAACCGTAGAAAGATAAATAAAAACAAGAAATAAAAAATCGAATAAATAAATATAGTTTTAGTTTATTCATAGACTGTTACAAAGAGGAGGCTTGCCTCAGTACTATAATAGTGGCAATACATTTCATAACAAGGGCTTACTATACAGAAAACTGAATTTATCACTGATACTTTAAATGTCTTTTCTGTATCCCTCTCATTGGATTTAGGTGAACTGTTTCAGGCACGTAACTAAAATAGAGGCATAATAAGAGACACAAATTGTCTTATTTCTGAATAGAAACTTCCCTTCCATCTGTGAAAGTTTCTCATTCATACGAGGAATTCCATTGGGGGGAAGACACATTTTGCAATCCCCAGAATTACCTTCCATAACATATTTGACAAATTTATCAATCAGTGAGAGAACACATTCAGAGAGTATGAGTTGCACCAGTGGGAATTGGCTAAAGTAATTTCTTTTCCTTATTTCTGAGTGACAGCAAATACTGAACAAAGTTCTATTTAAGAAAGCTTCTCTCTTTCCCCCTCCCTCCCTCCCTCCCTCCCTCCCTCCCTCCATCTATCTTTCTAACAGAAATCTAAGCCTCAAAAAAGCCTTCAATACTTCTAATAAATCTTTTTTGAATAAAATGCAAGACCCCCTTCTCCCACAAATCTCCATTTATGTTATTTGCCACAATTTCTGATTAGTCCCATTTTCTAAAAATAAAAATACAGGCTGCTCTTCATTCAACATAAAGTTGGGTATCACTTCTATACCTATTAAGGTTTTCTTATTGCCTTAATCAGGAGCAAAATCATATTTAAACAACTATAATATTATACAAAGAGGCTTTCTTTGAATGCATTTTACAAAAATTGGTCTGTAACAATATCTACATTATAAATTAAAGTTCTTCTTCCAGAGACATGCTGTATATAATTTTTGGTCAACAATTAATATGTAAGGATGCTGTGTTACAATGAAGTATGAATGAAGTTCATAAGGAGTACAATTATATAAACATTGATAATTACTTGACAAGCATTTTGCTCTTCCAAAGGAGAATGCATTTTTACTCCTTTAATATATTTTGTGTTGGATTATCGCAGTGAAATTAGATTTTTTTTGTATTCAATAAAATGAAATTTACAGTGGAAAGGGTTATGTAGTATTGTTGCAACTGCAAATATGCCTCACTGAAACATATTCCAGTTGTCAATACTATGCTATTCTTTCCCAAAAGAGCAAGGTTAGGACATTATTATGGTATATTATATTACTGTTATTATTGTAATTTTAAAAGTTATCTAGCTAATCTCAGACTCTGTGTGGTTCATCACTTGCAGAATAATTTGGGAGCTGATTTTTACAAGTGTAAAGTCAAAGGTCAAGGCTAGGAAATAATTAAATAACTCACATTCAAACTCTTAATGTGATTATATAATACTGTACTATAGTACCATAATGCTGAATATTATTACATGCTATTCGAAACAGATGTCACAGGGTTGAAGTTCACTGTTGGGCAGCATTATTTCACAAAGGTCCATAGATGTATGGGACATATAATTTCAAAATGCTAAAGAAAACTGTTGAGTTATCTAATGGTATAAAATTAAAACGTTGTACAAAGTATTTAAATTGCAATGTTTGCAATCAAGAAAAAAGCAAGGTAACTCCTGCAAATAGGGTAAATGGATTCAAAATCAGTGAACCATTAGAGGTTGTTTTAGCTGATATTATTGAACCTAAGAAACCTAGTTTAGGTGGACCCTGTAACATATTAAGTATAATTGATCATTTTTCCATATATGGTTTCTGTTATTTAATGAAAATGAAGATGGAAACATACCAGCATTTTGTAAACTGGCTAAAATTTGCTGAAAGGAAAAAGAAACAGAAAGTTATTAGCTTAGTGATGGTACTGAATTTACCAATAAAATATTTGAAGCCATGTTACAGAAAGCTGGCATTGAACATAAGCATTCTGCTCCTTATAGACCACAACATAACTCATATATTGAACGTAGAGGACAAACATTATAGGCTATGGCTAGGACTATGATTTTGGATTCTGGTTTATCAGAGAAACTTTGGGGTGAAGCAATAATGTGTGCTAACCATGTTTTGAATAACATAGTGAACTCAATGACTGGTGAATTACCATTTACTTGTTGGAATGGAAAAAAGTCAGATCTCAGTTATTTACATACATTTGGAACCCCAGCATGGGTTCATATTCCCACGCAAGTAAGGTGAAAGGGACAACATAGAGTGAGAAAATTATATTTTGTAGGTTATGAAGCTAATCGTAGATCATTTAGATTTTGGGAGCCAGGTACTACTAATGGATATTGTAGCGCAAGTGCTAAATTTCTGGAGCATGTTGGCTGGAGAAAGCTTGAACAGGAATATAATAAGGTACAGGATAGTGTTGTTGTTGAGACTCCATTGTTTACCAATAATCCTAATGATAATAATATTGATGATAAGATAGTGGAGGAATCATCAATAGAAGAACCCTCTATGACTGTAGAAGACAAGGATTTGATAGGGAGGTAAAGGAAGAGGACATGCCAACAACATGTACTGAGTTGCCTAGGAGGTCAACTAGGGAGAGACATCCACCTGACAGATTTCAAGCAAGCATTGTATGTCAGGTTAATACAGAACCTTCTAACTTCAGTGAAATAAAACTGTATCCTACAAAGGATCAGGTAGCTTGGCAGGAAGCTATGAATAAGGAGTTAAAATCGTTAAAGGATTTAGAGGTGTATGAGGATGTAAAGTTACCACCAGGTGAGCGTGCAATAGGTTGCAAATGGGTGTATAAGATAAAGACTGGTGTGGATGGGACTATTACCCATAAAGCAAGATTAGTTGCTCAAGGATTTGCTCAGTCAGATAAGGACTATGATGAAGTGTTTGCACTTAGTCTGAGAGCAAATACATTGAGAGCAGCATTAGTTTGGGCAGCTAAGAATAAATGTAAAATAAACCATGTAGATGTTGAAACTGCATATCTACATGCACCTTTACAACATACCATCTATATGAAAAAGCCATTAGGTTTAAAGGATGATGGAAAAACTGATTATTGGAAATTAAAGAAAAGTATGGTCTAAAGCAATCCGGTTATGAATGGAATAAATGTATTGTAAAGGAATTAGTTTCAATAGGTTTTGAAGCCAGTATAGCTGATCCTTGTTTGTTCCAGAGAGAAAAAAATGGTTTAATTTCTCTATTACTGTTATTTACAGATGACATAGCAATTATAACTAAAAGTGAACAAGAAGCAAATGATATTGTTTATAGATTACAGAAAAAGTTCAGGATTAGAAATTTAGGGGAGATTAAGCATTATTTGAGTCTTGATATAATGAAAACGAATAAAGGTTTTAAAATTTCACAAGCCAAGAAGATTAGCCAATTATTAAAATGCTATAACATGGAGCATTGTAAATCTGCTAAGACACCAATGAGTAAGGAATTTACACATAGAGATATCAAAAGTCCTATATATTTGATAAGTAAATATATCAATCCTTAATCGGTAGTCTATCATAGCTGAGTAATTGGTCTAGACCAGATATATCTTACAGTGTAAACCAATTGGCTAGGTATAACGCTGAACCAAATGAAAGGCATTGGCAAGCAGCTAAGTGAATACTTAGGGTTTTAAAACACACAATCCATTATTCATTATATTTAGAACCAAGTAATGAATTAGTGTTAACTGCATATGCTGATGCAAGTTTTGCTTCTGACATAATGACTCATAAGTCAACATCAGGTATTGTGGTAATATTGGGTAATGCTTTGATAGGATGGAAGTCTATTAGGCAACAACATATTAGTTTATCCACTATGGAAGCGGAATTCTCATGTTTATCTTTAATGTGTACAGAATTGATATATTATAAACAATTGTCAAAGGATATTGGAATTTCTGTAAGTGATCCGTTTATTGTTTATGAAGACAATCAAACTGCAATTAATATGGCAACTAATTTAGCTGTTAAAACAAGGTCTAAACATACTGATTTGAGATATTTGAACATTAGACAGTGTGTTCAAAATAAATTAATTCAGTTAGAATACTGCATGACTGAACATAATATTGCAGATAATTTCATGAAAGCTCAAGGTGCAATTAAGCACAAAGAGTGTTGTAAGAATTATGGTTTAAAGATGTAATGTATTATATATTGACCAACCCAAAGGGGAGAATGTTAGGAATCTGTCCAACAATTAGTTGGGTTGGCAATATAAGTGAAAATGGTGGCGCCCAACTAGGAAGGTGAGGCTCTCGCTCCTGTAGCACAATCTCCCTATAAAGCCACCACC